TGACGATGCTGTTACAGCATTATTTAAATAAGTCTTCTTTGTGTGGATTTTGGTCAAATGGTTACATTGTTAGGTTCAATTCCTGTTATTTGTTTCCATTTTTAGAACTGCTTTTTTTCCTTTTAATTCTTCTTAGTCCCCTCCCAATTTTATTGTAAAAATATACAAAAGTACAGAAAAGTTCAAATAATTCTGCCTTGGTCAGTGTTCATAGGGTTGTCCCCTATATCCAAGGGGACTGGCTTCCAGGATTCCCCCAGGACACCAAAAAGCATCTGGGGATGCTCAAGTCCCTTATGGAAGATGGCACATTTGCATATAACCTAGGCAGTTCCCCCAAGTTTTGTTTATTTATTTACTGGTACCAAGGATGGAACCCAGGGGAGCTCAACCCACTGAGCCACATTCCTAGCTTTTTCTGTTTTGAACTTTGAGACAGGGTCTCCCTAAGTGGCTTAGGGCTCTCTAAGTTGCTAAGCTTGTCCTTGAACTTACGATTCTCCTGCCTCAGCCTCCTGAGTCACTTAAGGATGTGCTCCCACACCTGCCCCTCCAGCTTTACATCATCTCAAGATCACGTGTGTGTGTGTGTGTGTGTGTGTGTGTTACTAGGGACTGAACCCAGGCCCTCACACATGCTAGGCAAACACTTTACCACTGAACTACATCCCTGTGCCCTAGATTATTTATAATAACTATGCACTATACATACTATAAATGCTATGTAGATAATTGTTACACTCTATGATTTAAGGAGTAATCACAGAAAAAAGTCTGAACACATGCAGTGCAGACCCTATTTTTTTTTATAATATGTCCATCCAAGGTTTGCTGATCCCCGTAATCTGATACAGAGCACCAACTATATTTGCTTTTGCACACACTTGCCCATCTCAGAAGCTATTCCCCTTCTTGTTGACCAATTTGAAAGTAAGTTGACACAGGGTTTATGTAATCCCAGCAACCCGAGAGGCTGAGGTTGGAGGATCCCAAATTTGAGGCCAGCTTCAGCAACTGAGACCCTCTGCAATTTAGCAAGGCCCTGCCTCCCAATAAAAATAAGTAAATAAAAAGGACTGGGGAAGTAGCTTAGTGATAAAGTGCTCCTGGGTTCAACCCTCAGTGCCAAACACAGTTAAAAAGTAAAAAAGAAGTTGTCCACGCCTGTAAGCTTTATTCTTAAACACTCGGTTTGCATATCATTAGAGTTCAGTATGTATTGACAGGTGTCTTTCAGATAAGATGTGCATACACAATGAAATGCCTGAATCTTGTATCACACCATTCCCAGAATTTGGACAGAGCAGATGCCTTTGTGACTCCATCACCGTCACCCTCAGAGAGCCCCTCCGCCCTTCCTAGCCCCCACTTCTGGCAGGGAGTTCCGATTTGTTCCACCATGCACATGAATTTTCACTGATGGGGTGCACTCCTGGACGGGGTGAAGCTTCCTTCACTCAGAATAATGTGTCCTTGACTTATCCAGGCCGTTGCTCTTAGAATTTTTATTTATTTATTTAAATTTTATTTATTTATTTAGTGGTGCTGGGGGTTAAACCCAGGGCCCTGTGCGTGCAAAGCCAGCACTCTACCAACTGAGCTACACCCCCAGCCCCTCTTTTTATTCTTACATATTAACCCAAATGCCTGAGGTACCCTTATCCATCCTCTTGTTTACAGACCCCAGCGATGATGATTCCAGTTTGGGGCTGTTCATCTACCTTTTTTTTTGGGGGGGGGGACGTGGATGTGCCACTTCTCTGGCTGTGCAGCATGGGTAGATGTCTGTTTCTTTTCTTTTTTTTGGGGGGGGGGTTGCTGGGGATTGAACCCAGGGCCTTGTGCATGTGAGGCAAGCACTCTACCAACAGCCCAATGTCTGTTTCCTTTTATAAGAACCTTTGAGACCTTTGCATAATCCCACCAACAATGTATGCTGGGAGTTTGGGGGTCTTGACCATCCCTGTCAGAATTTCATGGTGTCAGTCTTTTAAAACTCTCATCATTCATGTGGGCAAGTCTGATGAGTTTTCAGGAATGAATATACCTATGTAATCATGATGGAATACTTCCTGGTTTTATTTTATTATTTATTTATTTGGTACCAGGAATTGAACCCACGGGCTCTTTACCACTGAGCCACATCCCCAGCCCCTCATAATATTTTATTAAAAGTCAGGGTCTCGCTGAGTTGCCTAGGACCGCCCCCGCACACACACTAAATTGCTGAAGCTGGTTTTGAACTCGTGGTCCTCCTGCCTTACTCTCCTGAGCTGCTGGGATTACAGGTGTGTGCCATCTCAACTGGCCATTTCCTTTATCTTAAAAAAGAATTTGAAAAAACAGCTCGAGAGGCCGAGGCAGGAGAGTTGCAAATTTGAGTCCAGCCTGAGCCATGAAGTGAGGCCCTAAGCAACTTAGTGAGACCCTGTCTAAAAAGGTAAAAAAGGGCTGGGGATGTGACTCAGCGGCTAAGCACCCCTGGCTTCAACCCTGGTACCAAAGAATAAAATAAATATAAAAGAATACTTCCTTCATTCTCGAGAATTCTCTCTCTCTTTGCAGTCAACCCTGCACTTCCCTGTATACACACACACACACACACACACACAGAGGCACCCACTCTTCTGATTTCTAGCACCATGGCTTAGCTTGGCCTGTTGCAGAACTTGAAGTAAACGGGATCGTAGAGTATAGGCTCCTCTTGGGCAGGGTTCTTCTGCTCACATGGGTTTTGAGGTGTGTGCATCTTGTGCAGTATGTCAGCGGCCTGTCCCTTTAACTGCTGAGCCATGTTCCAGGGTATAAACACCTGCGATTCCTTCACCCCTTACCCATTGTTGAGGGTGCCCAGGGAAGCTCCCAGATAAGCAGGACTCTAAAGAATGTGATAACGGAGCAGGCGGAGCAGGCGGCTGGCCACTTCCCTTCTCTCCAGAGTGGATCAAAGCCCAGGGACCTTGGTTGTAAAGTGAAAGAACATGAACCATCTGGGGGGTGCCCGTGTGCGGCCTGTCTCATGGACTCCCCCTGCTGGCAGGGCCCGGGTGGCCTCCCCGGCACAACCCATCAACAATGTAGGAGCACACGATGATAAAATGTCCAACATCTCTGGGTCGAGTCCTCCGAGTTCTTTCCTTTATGCTGGGGTCTTCAAAGCCCTGGGTTGGGTCTGTTTCTGAATCGTGGCTATTTTGCCCTTGGCTGCTACGAATGGCCTCAGATGGGTCTCTGGTGGGCACGTGCTCTCATCGCTCGGTCATAGGTGGACATGGGCTGAACTTGAAGAGAGACCATTTTGCAAAGCGACATGCCTTTTGCATGCACCAGAGCAGCACCGCGGGCTCCGCTGGCCTTCACTCATGCCCCCGGGACTCTGCTCTCTTAGGTAGGTCAGCTTCCAGCGGAGCCTGGGTTTTCTTTTCTGGCCTTTTCTCTCGTGCTTTTCTTTTGGTCCTGGACTAAACCCAGGGACACTCTCCACTGAGCTGTGTCTTCAGCCCTTTTTAATTTTAACTTTGAAACAGAGTCGCTAAGTTTCCCAGGCTGGCTTCAAATGTGCAGTCCTCCTGCCGCAGCCCCCAGTGTCACTGGGATGACAGACACATGGCCCCACACCCAGCAGGGTACCCAGATGTTTAATTTGTATTTCTTAGATGACGAGTGATGCCGATCTTCTCACCATGTCCCTATTGGCAAGTCACATATCTTTTTAGGCAAAGTGTCTGTTCAGGTACTTTGTCCACATTTAAATAATAATAATAATTATTATTATTATTATTATCTTGCTGAACTGCAGGTTGAACCAAAGGGGGGTGGTGCCTACTACTGAGCTACATCCCCAGTCCTTATTTATTTATTTTTATTCTAACTTGTTTGCCGAAGTCTAGCTGGAATGCCGCAGTCTGACTGGGCACAATCAGGAGCCACTTGTCAAAAGAAACTAACTTTATTTTTAGAACCACACACACCAAACAAAACAGCCTCTCAGGAAAAACCCTCAGAGCCTCAACTGCCACCACCGGCTTTCCACAAGCCTCTCTCTCCCACACAAGCTTCTCTCCACCTCCCACAATCCTCCTGCTCTTGAGGCCGATTGGCTGGGTCACATGGGCGGAGCCAAAAAAGTCCCCCAATGAGCAGCTCCGTGGTCTGAACGGGCAGGGAAACAGCCCAATGAGCATCACTGCAGAGGAGCCAATCAGCTAGATGTTGCTGGGGCCGAGGAGCCAATCAGCTAGATGTTGCTGGGGCCGCTGTGAGACAATCATCAGCCGGCAGCTGGAAGTTTGCTGGCAGCTGGAAGTTTGCTGGGGCCCCTTCGGCTGTGGCCCCTTCGGCTGTGGCTCTCAACACTTGTTATGTATGACAGCAAAATGCATTACACTTCATATTACACACATAGAGCACAATTTTTTATATCTCTGGTCATATACAAAGTAGAGTCACATGGTTTGTCTCTTCATACACCTACTTAGGGTCATGATGTCCATCTCATTCCACCATCTTTTTTACCCCCAAGCCCCTCTCTTCCCCTCCCACCCCTTTGCCCAATCTAGAGTTCGTCTATTCCTCCCAAGCTCCCCCTCTCAACCCCACTATGAGTCAGCCTCCCTATATCAGACCAAAAATACAGCATATGGGTTTTGGGGATTGGCTAACTTCTGTTACCATTATATTCTCCAACTCCATCCATTTACCTGCAAATGCCATGATTTTATTCTCTTTTATTGCTGAGTAATATATATATATATATATATATATATATATATATAAACAGGGTCTCACTAAGTTGCTGAGGCTGGCTTCGAACTCACAATCCTCCTGACTCAGCCTGCCAAGGCACTGGGATTAAAGGCACTAGAGCCTGGCCCGGCTCTACTCAACTCTTTGTGTGTGTGCATGTGGGTGTGGGTGTGTTTGGTACTGGGGCTTGAACTCAGGGGCACTCAACCACTGAGCCACATCCCAGCCCTATTTTGTATTTTATTTAGAGACAGGGTCTCACTGAGTTGCTTAGGGCCTTGCTAAGCTGCTGAGGCTGGCTTTGGACTCAGGATCCTCCTGCCTCGGCCTCCTGAGCCGCTGGGATTAGAGGTGTGTGCCCTGCCGGCTTCTGTTTGTGTTTCTCTGACACTCCTCCCGAGCTCCTCTTCCTCTCCTCCTCTCCCCTCCTGTCCTGACACGTCCTGCCCCGTTCCCATCTCTCTCTCCTGCTCATTTGGCAGCTGAGGAGTAGCCACACCGAGGAACCTGGGTGACTTCCAGACGGAGCCACAGGGCGCTCTCCCAGCTACTGCACTGAACAGCGCGGTGCCTGGTCACAAATGGCCACTTCACTCTGGGGATGGGTTTCTGGAAAGAGCACTGCCAGGCCAGGGTCCCTCCTCTGTGACTGCCAGGTGTGGCCAGGTCCCGCCTTGTCAGAGGCACGAGGAGGCTGGGTCCTGGGACTTGGCCTAACCCTTGGTTCTGTCCACCCAGGCTGAGCTCTCCTTGGTCGTCCCCATGTGCCCTGGCATAGGACAAGTCCTGCAGTCCCTGGTGGGACCCCATGGTCCTGGCTCCCAGGCAGCCGTGACCCTGTGTGCAGCTCAGCTGCCTTTGGCATTGAGAACAGCCACTGTCACGGGAGCTCCTCAGGTCCCCACCAGCCTGTCTTCTTTTATTTTCTTACATTTGATTGATGGATGGATTGATTGATTTTTGGTAGGAGGACGGAACCCAGGGGTGTTCCACCACTGAGCCACATCCCCATCCCTTTTTATGTTTTATTTTGAGACGGGGTCTCACTAAGTTGCTTAAGGCCTTGCTAAGTTTCTGAGGCTGGTCTTGAACCTGAGACCCTCCTGCCTCAGCCTCCCAAGTGGCTGCAATTGCAGCCTGCCCCACCATACCCAGTTCTGCTCTGCTCTCGTTTTAAGATGACCGTCCACTGAGCGCATCCAGGTGGTATAGCTGTTTCTCAAGGGCCCTGTGGGGTTGCTCTTATTTTGCCTGTTTTACAGCAGAGGAGGTGAGGGCTGGAGGTGCAGACAAGTGTCACCCAAGTCCCCAGAGCTGGACAGCACAAGAGTCAGGTGGCCTGGTGAGGTGGACCCCCACGTGCACACGTGTTCCCATGCCTAAAGAAGTTTCTAAACCAGAGGACGTGGACGTCCTGGTCACGGGTCCCTCGGAGAAGAGCTAGGTGTGGCAGGACTCCCGCCCCCAGCTCCCGGTCAGTCCCCTGGCCTCAGGAGTCCTCCCAGCCTGGGAGGCAGTGGAGACTGAGCCTGTGGGTGGCCCCCGCCCCTTCCACAGGAAGCTGGGACAAGGCAGTCTCTGGCCTCATGAAGACATCACAATAGTGGTCAGTCACCCAGCCAGGCTGCTGGGGCGGCCGTTGCTTCTCTCCTGCTTGTCTCTGGCCACCAAGCCTCACCATGAGGACTGCTCAGGATGAGGACCAGGAGAATGAGGACACGGAACCCCAGGTCACCAGGACACCACTGCTGAAACAGAGGAACAAGGAGGAGCCAAAATGGAGCCAACCTCAGGGTGAGGGGCGGGGGCTGAGAGTGGCCAGGGACAGGGGGATGCTGGGGCCCACGGGGAAGCAGGAGGCCGGATGGGGCCACCTGGCCCAGCCAGGGCTGATCCCCGGGCTCACCACCTCCCCCAAGTCCCACCCCCCCACCACCCAGGTGACCCCACAGGGACACGGGCAGCAAGGCCTCTGGCAGCACACACTCTCTTTGAGCCCACGAGGACAGGTGGCTGCGGACATCACATGGGGTCAGGTCACTGCCCGGCCTGGGGGACATGGCCCTGGAGAGTCCCCAGTCACCTCTCACTGTTGATGCCTGGTGGCGCCAGCAGGGGTCGGCAGGACCACAGGGCACTGATGGGCAATGCTGCTCACAGCTGGGAGTGACTCCTAGGGGGGAGGCCCAGGGGGCTTCATTTCCGACCCTCCTTTGTCTGTGAGAGGGATGAAAACCTGCCGGCCAGGGATGCGGGGACCTCTCCCTGTCCTGGGGAGTGGAGCCAGTGGGTAGGACAGGGAGGGGCTTGCCTCTGCCCCCACCCCAGCAAGCTCGGGTGGGAGGCCCAGGAGCCCCCTCCAGCCTCCAGCCTCCAGCCTCCCTTCCTGGGAGGGGCGGGAAGAGCCGGTGGTGGAGAGAAACCCTGGGTCCCTGTGCAGGACAAGCCACGGGCCTGTCCCTGGAGACACGGGGACCCTCTGCCCACACACGCCCAGGAGGCTCCCTCTCCTGCCCACCTCTCGGGTCCCAGGCTCCGGACTCCCTTGTCGGAGCTGCTTCCTGAGCCTGTGGGGCAAGGTGGCAGCTGGGAGGAGGGGCTGGGGCCCGATGAGCAGGTGGGGTGCCCAGACACTGCGGGAGGACCTGGGGCTCAGGGAGCAAGTCTGGGAGAGTGGAGGGCAGGACACCCATAAAGGCCTCCTCCCAAGGAATTGGGCGCAGCCCATTGGGGAGCCATTGTGACAGAGGCAAGGGGCAGAATGGCAGCGTGGACTCCGGAGTCGGGCCTTTCAGCTCCATCCTTGGCTGTCACACTTATTTACTGGGACCTCAGGAAAGTCTCCTGCTCTCTGAGTCTAGTCTCACACCTGCTGCCTGGAATAGGGGAGCCCCCGTGCTGCACGGGCAGGAGGACTGTAGGAAGTGTGTTAAGCACCCAGCTCAGAGCCCGGCTGGCGATGGACGGCCCGAGCTCCTGTGTCCTGGGCCACCTGGTGCTGCTCCCAGGAAGAGCTTGTATCCCAGGACACGAGGGCACAGTGCAGTCAGACGTGCCCAGGTTCAAATCCAGCTCCTCCACCTACGGCCACGCAGCCGTCGAAGCTGACGCATCCTTCCAGGCCCCATCTGCTCTCTGGAGTGGGCACCTGCCCGTGGGCACTCAGTCCTGGCAGCTGAGGGCGCTCTTCCCTCCTCTCTCCTCAAGGGCCACGGCCTCCTTACAACCGTCCTGCAGGAGGCTCCCGCCCTCAGCAGCCCACAGGTGAGTGCAAAGTGCCCTACACCTCTCTCCTCGCACACACTTCCTGCTCAGACTGCCACAGGCCCCTGGCCTGACCATGGGCCCAAACTGCCCGCTGGAAAGCCCTCCTCCCAGCCCCATGGCTCCATGGCCCTGCATCTGGTTAGGGCCTCTCTGTGGCTCCCACAGGCTGTCCCAATGTCAGTGGCCTTGAGCATCACTCTGACCAGTGTGTGGTCATTAGTAGACACCCTGGCGTACAGTAGGTGCTCAGGAGATGCTTGTAAACTCCCTGCAAGCACATCACCTCCACCTGGATCACAGAGATGGAGAACACAGACCCCCAGGAGGGGCCTAGGTTTGGGGATTCTCCATATTTTCCAAGGAGTTCTCAAGCACTCCAAAGAACGGTCAGGTTGGACTGAGGGTCCGCTTCACAGTGCTGCAACTAATGCACAGAGAAAGGTTTGTTCTGGCTCCCAGTCCTGGGGTTCCAGTCCATAGCTGGCCAGTCCCACTGCTCTGGGCCTCTGCAGAAACCAGATGCCCATGACAGGGAGGCAATGTCAGAGCAAACGATTCCATCACGATCTGGGCAGCAGAGAAAGACCAGGGTCCCACAGTGTCCTCAGATCCCAGTGACCTAAGGACCGCCCCTAAGTCAAGGTCCACACACCTCCCAATAGCGCCACCCTGGGGACCAAGCCTTGAACACATGGACCTTTGAGAGACACTCACGCAGACCATAGTGGACAGTCAATTCCCACAGGTAGCCTCAGGGTGACACAGTGACAATGACCTCTCCCTTGGAGAGTGCAGACAACCCTCAGGTCCCCCATCCTAGCTTCCTGCCAAGTGCGGGGCATGTCACCCTCCCCTGCCTCAGAGCTCACCCTGGGGCAGCCCCACCCCTCTCCAGGCAGGGGGTGCAGACAGACCTGGCTCTGCTCGGGGACACTGTGGAGCGCCACCAGCGTTCTTGTTCTTGCTTTGGGGCTTATTTTGGGGCGCTGGGGTTCCCCCTGGGTCCCATGCATGCTGGGCGAACGCTCCCCTCTGAGCTGCGCCCGGAGCCTCAGCAGCATGCTCTTGACAAACCCAGCCACCAAAGGACACAGGGAGGGCCTCCGTCCCAGGTCGCCAGGCACACCTGTGGGCCAACGTCCAGGTGCAAGTCCAGCGGCGAGGCTGGCTGTTCTTTCCACCACAGGCATGGGGACAGACTGGGGCTAACCCCGCAGGTTGAGAAAGGGGGTTGAGCTGGGCAACTGGCTGGACAGAAGGGACCTGGGTTAGACCCAGAGGTCCTCCAAACCCCCTGGGTCCTGACTTTGCCCGCCAGCCAGAGCGTCATGACTGGGGGGGAAGGAGTCCTGAGGCTGATGGGCAGGTGGATAATGGGTGGCACGACCCTAACCAGGTGGTCTTGGGTGCTTAGATGACCACCAGGAACAACCAAAAGACAAGAAGTCACAGCGGGGGTGGTGTGTCCAGCTGGGTTGGGCCCAAGGGTGGGGGTGAGGCGGTGCAGGTCTGACCTGCCTCTCGCCCACCCAGGTATGTACACCAACCTGCCCAGGATCTCGACCTCCTTGCCAATGCGCACCGTATGTCCCTACTGTGGCCACCTAGTCGTCACGGAGACCACCCCTGTCCCAGGAATCCTCACCTGGCTACTGTGCTTAGGCCTCTGTTTCTGTGGGTGAGTGGCTGGCCCTCGGCTCCAAAAGGCCCTGCCCCCACTTGCAGGGGGGGTTCCTCCTGGGAGAAAGGGCTGGCATCTAGCAGCCAGGTGGGCAGCAGGGCTGTTTGTGGAGGACAGGCAGGAGCAAGGACAAGGAGTCCCGATGCTCGCCACTGACCACACTCAGTGGGAGTCACGCCTGCCACAAGAGGGTCCCCAGCAGTGCCTGTCACCACCATGGGGAATCCCTGGCCTATGGAGTCGCCCAGCAGCTTATAGGAGGCTGGCCGTCCGAGGGCAGTGAGGGCCAGGGCCAGGTGGTGCACTTATGGCCCATGCCCTATGGCTGCAGGTGCTGCCTGGGCTGTTGCCTTGTGCCCTTCTGGATTCAAAGCCTGAAGGATGTGACCCACTCGTGCCCCGTGTGCAAGCACCATCTCTACCACTACAAACGCATGTGACCCCTGCCCTGGAAATAAACCTGCTGACGCTCCTGCACGTGTGTCCTGCGCCCGGCCATGCCATGGCCTCCTCTGACTCCAGTCACCAGGGAGGTGGGGTGTGGCCCACAGGAGCCTGGAGCACAGCAGATGCGCAGGCCGCGCTGGCTGGATACGGGAAGGGTCCTGTCCCTGAGGTGCCCAGCGCAGACCTCAGCCTGCTGTCCACCAGGAGGCCCGTCTTTTGCCCTCGCCCACCCGCACCCAGGCTCTCAGCTGGCCCTGCGGGTGGACTAGCACTTGGTACCGAGTGCAACCCCAGTGGGCATCTCCCTGAGCCGCCCTCCCCTGGCCGACGCTGTCCAACTGGGGTCCCACCTGGGCCTCCTCTCCCACCCACTCCTGCACCCTGCAGCCTCTCTCCTGTGCCTCAGAGAGCTCCCTCTCCCTTCCTGGGGGCAGGGTGGCTGCAGCGGGCACCACCTCTTCTTACCCCAGACCCCTGCCCTGTCCCTGCTGCCCTGCAGGGACCTGCAATGGCCCTGGTCAAGTCTGCCCTGCCCTCCTCACCACTGGGGGCTGCGATTGGTTTGGGCAAGGGTCAGTCACCTCAGCTTGGACTGTGCCGACACATGCCCAGACCCTGCCACCCTCAGACCAAGATTGATTTTCTTTTTGTACCAGGGATTGAACCCAAGGGCACTTAACTATCGAGCCACGTCCCACATTTTTTTTCAGGGTATTTATTTTTCAGTTGTAATTGGACACAATATGCTTGTTTTATTTATCTATTGCTCTGTGGTTCTGAGGATCAAACCCAGGGCCCCGCAAGTGCTAGGCAGGCCCTGTACTGCTCAGCCCCAGGCGCAGCCCACATTTCATCTTCTTAAATATTGAGACAGGGTCTCACTGAGTTGCTTAGGGCCTTGCTAAGCTGCTGAGGCTGGCTTTGGACTCAGGATCCTCCTGCCTCGGCCTCCTGAGCCGCTGGGATTAGAGGTGTGTGCCCTGCCGGCTTCTGTTTGTGTTTCTCTGACACTCCTCCCGAGCTCCTCTTCCTCTCCTCCTCTCCCCTCCTGTCCTGACACGTCCTGCCCCGTTCCCATCTCTCTCTCCTGCTCATTTGGCAGCTGAGGAGTAGCCACACCGAGGAACCTGGGTGACTTCCAGACGGAGCCACAGGGCGCTCTCCCAGCTACTGCACTGAACAGCGCGGTGCCTGGTCACAAATGGCCACTTCACTCTGGGGATGGGTTTCTGGAAAGAGCACTGCCAGGCCAGGGTCCCTCCTCTGTGACTGCCAGGTGTGGCCAGGTCCCGCCTTGTCAGAGGCACGAGGAGGCTGGGTCCTGGGACTTGGCCTAACCCTTGGTTCTGTCCACCCAGGCTGAGCTCTCCTTGCTCGTCCCCATGTGCCCTGGCATAGGACAAGTCCTGCAGTCCCTGGTGGGACCCCATGGTCCTGGCTCCCAGGCAGCCGTGACCCTGTGTGCAGCTCAGCTGCCTTTGGCATTGAGAACAGCCACTGTCACGGGAGCTCCTCAGGTCCCCACCAGCCAGCCTTCTTTTATTTTCTTACATTTGATTGATGGATGGATTGATTGATTTTTGGTAGGAGGACGGAACCCAGGGGTGTTCCACCACTGAGCCACATCCCCATCCCTTTTTATGTTTTATTTTGAGACGGGGTCTCACTAAGTTGCTTAAGGCCTTGCTAAGTTTCTGAGGCTGGTCTTGAACCTGAGACCCTCCTGCCTCAGCCTCCCAAGTGGCTGCAATTGCAGCCTGCCCCACCATACCCAGTTCTGCTCTGCTCTCGTTTTAAGATGACCGTCCACTGAGCGCATCCAGGTGGTATAGCTGTTTCTCAAGGGCCCTGTGGGGTTGCTCTTATTTTGCCTGTTTTACAGCAGAGGAGGTGAGGGCTGGAGGTGCAGACAAGTGTCACCCAAGTCCCCAGAGCTGGACAGCACAAGAGTCAGGTGGCCTGGTGAGGTGGACCCCACGTGCACACGTGTTCCCATGCCTAAAGAAGTTTCTAAACCAGAGGACGTGGACGTCCTGGTCACGGGTCCCTCGGAGAAGAGCTAGGTGTGGCAGGACTCCCGCCCCCAGCTCCCGGTCAGTCCCCTGGCCTCAGGAGTCCTCCCAGCCTGGGAGGCAGTGGAGACTGAGCCTGTGGGTGGCCCCCGCCCCTTCCACAGGAAGCTGGGACAAGGCAGTCTCTGGCCTCATGAAGACATCACAATAGTGGTCAGTCACCCAGCCAGGCTGCTGGGGCGGCCGTTGCTTCTCTCCTGCTTGTCTCTGGCCACCAAGCCTCACCATGAGGACTGCTCAGGATGAGGACCAGGAGAATGAGGACACGGAACCCCAGGTCACCAGGACACCACTGCTGAAACAGAGGAACAAGGAGGAGCCAAAATGGAGCCAACCTCAGGGTGAGGGGCGGGGGCTGAGAGTGGCCAGGGACAGGGGGATGCTGGGGCCCACGGGGAAGCAGGAGGCGGGATGGGGCCACCTGGCCCAGCCAGGGCTGATCCCCGGGCTCACCACCTCCCCCAAGTCCCACCCCCCCACCACCCAGGTGACCCCACAGGGACACGGGCAGCAAGGCCTCTGGCAGCACACACTCTCTTTGAGCCCACGAGGACAGGTGGCTGCGGACATCACATGGGGCCAGGTCACTGCCCGGCCTGGGGGACATGGCCCTGGAGAGTCCCCAGTCACCTCTCACTGTTGATGCCTGGTGGCGCCAGCAGGGGTCGGCAGGACCACAGGGCACTGATGGGCAATGCTGCTCACAGCTGGGAGTGACTCCTAGGGGGGAGGCCCAGGGGGCTTCATTTCCGACCCTCCTTTGTCTGTGAGAGGGATGAAAACCTGCCGGCCAGGGATGCGGGGACCTCTCCCTGTCCTGGGGAGTGGAGCCAGTGGGTAGGACAGGGAGGGGCTTGCCTCTGCCCCCACCCCAGCAAGCTCGGGTGGGAGGCCCAGGAGCCCCCTCCAGCCTCCAGCCTCCAGCCTCCCTTCCTGGGAGGGGCGGGAAGAGCCGGTGGTGGAGAGAAACCCTGGGTCCCTGTGCAGGACAAGCCACGGGGCTGTCCCTGGAGACACGGGGACCCTCTGCCCACACACGCCCAGGAGGCTCCCTCTCCTGCCCACCTCTCGGGTCCCAGGCTCCAGACTCCCTTGTCGGAGCTGCTTCCTGAGCCTGTGGGGCAAGGTGGCAGCTGGGAGGAGGGGCTGGGGCCCGATGAGCAGGTGGGGTGCCCAGACACTGCGGGAGGACCTGGGGCTCAGGGAGCAAGTCTGGGAGAGTGGAGGGCAGGACCCATAAAGGCCTCCTCCCAAGGAATTGGGCACAGCCCATTGGGGAGCCATTGTGACAGAGGCAAGGGGCAGAATGGCAGCGTGGACTCCGGAGTCGGGCCTTTCAGCTCCATCCTTGGCTGTCACACTTATTTACTGGGACCTCAGGAAAGTCTCCTGCTCTCTGAGTCTAGTCTCACACCTGCTGCCTGGAATAGGGGAGCCCCCGTGCTGCACGGGCAGGAGGACTGTAGGAAGTGTGTTAAGCACCCAGCTCAGAGCCCGGCTGGCGATGGACGGCCCGAGCTCCTGTGTCCTGGGCCACCTGGTGCTGCTCCCAGGAAGAGCTTGTATCCCAGGACACGAGGGCACAGTGCAGTCAGACGTGCCCAGGTTCAAATCCAGCTCCTCCACCTACGGCCACGCAGCCGTCGAAGCTGACGCATCCTTCCAGGCCCCATCTGCTCTCTGGAGTGGGCACCTGCCCGTGGGCACTCAGTCCTGGCAGCTGAGGGCGCTCTTCCCTCCTCTCTCCTCAAGGGCCACGGCCTCCTTACAACCGTCCTGCAGGAGGCTCCCGCCCTCAGCAGCCCACAGGTGAGTGCAAAGTGCCCTACACCTCTCTCCTCGCACACACTTCCTGCTCAGACTGCCACAGGCCCCTGGCCTGACCATGGGCCCAAACTGCCCGCTGGAAAGCCCTCCTCCCAGCCCCATGGCTCCATGGCCCTGCATCTGGTTAGGGCCTCTCTGTGGCTCCCACAGGCTGTCCCAATGTCAGTGGCCTTGAGCATCACTCTGACCAGTGTGTGGTCATTAGTAGACACCCTGGCGTACAGTAGGTGCTCAGGAGATGCTTGTAAACTCCCTGCAAGCACATCACCTCCACCTGGATCACAGAGATGGAGAACACAGACCCCCAGGAGGGGCCTAGGTTTGGGGATTCTCCATATTTTCCAAGGAGTTCTCAAGCACTCCAAAGAACGGTCAGGTTGGACTGAGGGTCCGCTTCACAGTGCTGCAACTAATGCACAGAGAAAGGTTTGTTCTGGCTCCCAGTCCTGGGGTTCCAGTCCATAGCTGGCCAGTCCCACTGCTCTGGGCCTCTGCAGAAACCAGATGCCCATGACAGGGAGGCAATGTCAGAGCAAACGATTCCATCACGATCTGGGCAGCAGAGAAAGACCAGGGTCCCACAGTGTCCTCAGATCCCAGTGACCTAAGGACCGCCCCTAAGTCAAGGTCCACACACCTCCCAATAGCGCCACCCTGGGGACCAAGCCTTGAACACATGGACCTTTGAGAGACACTCACGCAGACCATAGTGGACAGTAAATTCCCACAGGTAGCCTCAGGGTGACACAGTGACAATGACCTCTCCCTTGGAGAGTGCAGACAACCCTCAGGTCCCCCATCCTAGCTTCCTGCCAAGTGCGGGGCATGTCACCCTCCCCTGCCTCGGAGCTCACCCTGGGGCAGCCCCACCCCTCTCCAGGCAGGGGGTGCAGACAGACCTGGCTCTGCTCGGGGACACTGTGGAGCGCCACCAGCGTTCTTGTTCTTGCTTTGGGGCTTATTTTGGGGCGCTGGGGTTCCCCCTGGGTCCCATGCATGCTGGGCGAACGCTCCCCTCTGAGCTGCGCCCGGAGCCTCAGCAGCATGCTCTTGACAAACCCAGCCACCAAAGGACACAGGGAGGGCCTCCGTCCCAGGTCGCCAGGCACACCTGTGGGCCAACGTCCAGGTGCAAGTCCAGCGGCGAGGCTGGCTGTTCTTCCCACCACAGGCATGGGGACAGACTGGGGCTAACCCCGCAGGTTGAGAAAGGGGGTTGAGCTGGGCAACTGGCTGGACAGAAGGGACCTGGGTTAGACCCAGAGGTCCTCCAAACCCCCTGGGTCCTGACTTTGCCCGCCAGCCAGAGCGTCATGACTGGGGGGGAAGGAGTCCTGAGGCTGATGGGCAGGTGGATAATGGGTGGCACGACCCTAACCAGGTGGTCTTGGGTGCTTAGATGACCACCAGGAACAACCAAAAGACAAGAAGTCACAGTGGGGGTGGTGTGTCCAGCTGGGTTGGGGCCAAGGGTGGGGGTGAGGTGGTTCGGGTCTGACCTGCCTCTTACCCCTCCCTCCAGGAATATACACCAACTTGCCCAGGATCTCGACCTCCTTGCCAATGCGCACCACATGTCCGTACTGTGGCAACCAAATCGTCACGGAGACTACCCCTGTCAATGGAGTCCTCAACTGGCTAATGTGCTTAGGCCTCTGTTTGTGTGGGTGAGTGGCTGGCCCTCGGCTCCAAAAGGCCCTGCCCCCACTTGCAGGCGGGGTTCCTCCTGGGAGAAAGGGCTGGCATCTAGCAGCCAGGTGGGCAGCAGGGGAGTTTGTGGAGGACAGGCAGGAGCAAGGACAAGGAGTCCCGATGCTCGCCACTGACCACACTCAGTGGGAGTCACGCCTGCCACAAGAGGGTCCCCAGCAGTGCCTGTCACCACCATGGGGAATCCCTGGCCTATGGAGTCGCCCAGCAGCTTATAGGAGGCTGGCCGTCCGAGGGCAGTGAGGGCCAGGGCCAGGTGGTGCACTTATGGCCCATGCCCTATGGCTGCAGGTGCTGCCTGGGCTGCTGCCTTGTGCCCTTCTGGATTCAAAGCCTGAAGGACGTGAACCACTCGTGCCCCGTGTGCAAGCACCATCTCTACCACTACAGACGTGTGTGACCCCTGCCCCGGAAATAAACCTGCTGACGCTCCTGCACGTGTGTCCTGCGCCCGGCCATGCCATGGCCTCCTCTGACTCCAGTCACCAGGGAGGTGGGGTGTGGCCCACAGGAGCCTGGAGCACAGCAGATGCGCAGGCCGCGCTGGCTGGATACGGGAAGGGTCCTGTCCCTGAGGTGCCCAGCGCAGACCTCAGCCTGCTGTCCACCAGGAGGCCCGTCTTTTGCCCTCGCCCACCGGCACCCAGGCTCTCAGCTGGCCCTGCGGGTGGACTAGCACTTGGTACCGAGTGCAACCCCAGTGGGCATCTCCCTGAGCCGCCCTCCCCTGGCCGGCGCTGTCCAACTGGGGTCCCACCTGGGCCTCCTGTCCCACCCACTCCTGCACCCTGCAGCCTCTCTCCTGTGCCTCAGAGAGCTCCCTCTCCCTTCCTGGGGGCAGGGTGGCTGCAGCGGGCACCACCTCTTCTTACCCCAGACCCCTGCCCTGTCCCTGCTGCCCTGCAGGGACCTGCAATGGCCCTGCTAAGTCTGCCCTGCCCTCCTCACCACTGGGGGCTGCGATTGGTTTGGGCAAGGGTCAGTCACCTCAGCTTGGACTGTGCGGACACATGCCCAGACCCTGCCACCCTCAGACCAAGATTGATTTTTTATCTTGGTTTTTGGTACCAGGGATTGAACCCAAGGGCACTTAACCACCAAGCCAGGCATCACCTTTTTTTTTAAGGGTAATTACTTTTCAGTTGTAATTGGGCACAATACCTTTATTTCATTTATTTATTGTTCTGCGATGCTGAGGCTCAGACCCAGGCTCCGCAAGTGCTAGGCGGGCCCTGTACTGCTCAGCCCCAGGCCCAGCCCGCATTTCATCTTCTTAAATTTTAGGCAGGGCCTTGCTAGGTGGCTGAGGCTGGCTTTGAACTCAGGATCCTCCTGCCTCAACCTCCCAAGTCCCTGGGATTACAGATGTGGGCCACCCTGCCTGGCCACGTTCCAGTGCTTGAGGCTGGGCCACCTGAGGCCACCTGTGAGCTGGCTCCTGCCTCCCCTGCCCCACTCTAGCCAGAACCAAGTGCTGGGCAGCCACCACTTGGGGCACCTTCTGTGGGGCCCCAGCACTGCCTCCCAACCCTCTCCCCCAGCCCCGTCCTGCACCCTCTGCTGTGACTGTCCCTAGATCTGGGCGCCAGTGGCTCGAGTGGGTATCTCAGGACACGGCAGGGATGAGGCTTGTGGACACCAGGAGGGGACAAGGCCAGGCAGGATCAGCCTGAATTGGAATCCTGCTTCCTCAGTCAACTACACCGGACTGCCACATGTGGCCAGGGGCTACTGCCCTGAACAGAGGGGACATTCCGCCACAGCAGCAGGTTCTGCTGGACAGTGCTGGGTTAAGGAGATAAAGTGCCAAGTCCCTATGGAGGCCGCATCCCAGCTCCCATGGAGGTTCAAGGCCTCAGTGTCTTATCAATGGGACCCTCTGGGCAAACTGGGGTCTGGGACCAGGACAGAGGGGGATGGGATAAAGGAAGAACCAAGCAGACTGGCCGGTTTCTCAACTTTGTGACCCATGAAAGTGCCATCTCCCTTACCATCGCTCCCAGTGGGATGAATTTCCTTCACTTAGGGCCTCAGTAATTTGCTGAGACAAATGAATTTCAGAGGGAGATGTGAGGGGAGCATCGGGGTGAAGTGGGTGGGTGTCACTGACAGCACTGCCCCAGGCCTGAGGATGCGCTGCAAACCCAACAGCTGGACAGGACCCGATCAGCAATAAAGGTGTCGAGGAGGGCGGGGGAGGCCGTTTGAGTGTGCAGAGCCCCCAGCTGGAGGAAGTACCGCCTCATGGTCACAGTAGCTAGAGGGAAGGACAGACGGACTCCTCCAGGTGGGAAGCCCCAGACCGCAGCCTCTCCCACTCCCCTTGGCGAACAGGAAAAGCTGAATCCTGAGCCAGCATCTCCGCAGGACCTGGAGCCTCGGCTTCACATTCAAACAGAAATCTTAGGATTCGGTGAGGAAGCTTTCCTGGGGACCTTGGTGCTTGGCTGAGACTGAGGGAGTCATCTCTGATTGTCCTAATTGAGGACCCTGGTGTCAAGTCAGGACACAGCAGAAGGCTCCGGCGACACCGTGGGCAGTGACGGGTCCAGGCGAGGCTACCCAGCCTCAGTGATCCCCAGGAAAGGCCTTGTTTGGGAGGTGGTGGCTCCACAGGTGCTCAGCCCCAGCAGTCCTGCTGGCCAGGCCATAGTCCCAGAACTAGATCCATCAGCAGTTCAGCTTGAAGGACTTCCTTGTTCTGCGCCACAACTCTCCGTGCTGGCTTTCCCTGGGTTCTGAGCCAGGTCCACAGATGGGAGCAGGGTCCTCTACTCCGGTTCTCTGTATATGTGGGTTGCTGGGGCACCGGGCGAGCTCTCCTGAGAGGTAGCCATCATGCTTCAAGGGTGACCAGATACACGGTGCGTTGAGAGGTTCTGCCCAGGATCTTCCATTTTTTTTTTCCTGGTATCTGGGATTGAGCCCAAGGGCACTCAATCTGGAGCCACACCTCCATCCTTTTTAATTTTGAGACAGGGTCTCATTTGCTGAAGCTGGCTTTGACCTTGCAATCTTCCTGCCCCAGCCTCCCTCACCGCTGGGATTGCAGGTGTGCCCCACCATGCCCAGCCCAGCCCCCCTCACCTGCCCCACATTTTTTATGGGTGCATTATAGTTGTACTTATGATGGGATGTCACTACACATCAGCACTCTTTCCTGATCCCATGAATCAACCCCACGCCCTTGGGACGGAGATTGCCCAGGGTTAGGAAGTGGCACTTGCCATGTCTCTCATGTTTGGTTATTAGTTACTTGTAGCACTGGGGACAGGACCCAGGGCCTTGCACATGCTGGCCAAGTGCTATACCACTAAGCTACACCTCAGCTTGTCACCTCTTAAAAAGTAGAAATGACACTGAAAACGGGCTTTTCTTCTCCAAGGTGTTTGCAGGTGCCCGAGGCACAGGTGTCTGAATGATGGAAACCCCCTGGCTCACCCCCAAGGTCATACCTGATCACAACTCAGCCTAAACGAATATTCCCAAGTCCACACCCAGGCTCCCCACCACCGCTCCAGCCACACCTGGCCACCGTGCAGGAAGGTGGGAGGCTTGACCACGGTCTCCACCTCTCTAGAGAGGTGCCCACAGATGGCTGCAGAGCAGGCTGGGGGTACATGGGGCCGTGGCCTCCTCTTGCACGGTCTCCTAAGGCTGGTCCTGGCCTCCATGCTCAGGGCCCATCAGGCCAGCACTTGGCCCTGGCAGGTGAGCTTGGCAGCAGTGGAAGGAAGGGGCGAGTCAAACTGGGTCTCAACACGTTCTGGCCCGGGCAAGCACTGAGCTGCCACCAGGCCCCAATTCTGGTCCCTGAGCTGCCCAGATGCCACGGCTGAACTCAAGGCCAGGGTGCAGTGCTCATTAGTGCTGGCTGTCACCAGCCATTCTACCCTCAAGCCTGGCTGAAAGAGAGGGGCCCTGCCCTTCATCACAGGAGGTCAGCGGGTGTGGCCAGGCAGGGCTCCATCAGGAGCAGCATCGGGCAGAGACATGCCCTGTGGGTCCCACCAGCTGCCAGGCAGGGAGCCTGGAGCAGCCTCAGGCTGACACAATCCCTGAGAAGTAGGTGCTGAATCCTGCAGAAACGAGAGCCCAGGGACACCCACTCCACACTGGTGGGCAAGGCCAGGCAGGATCAGCCTGCCTGGCAGGGACGCTGTCATGGTCTGCTCTGACCCCAGGCGAGGGAACACCAGCTGGCGCTGTGCTCCCCACCACGGCAGCCCTTGGCCACGGGTGACTGGAGTCAGAATTGGAATCCTGCTTCCTCAGCCAACTACAGCAGACTGCCACATGTGGCCAGGGGCTACTGCCCTGAACAGAAGGGACATTCCGCCACAGCAGCAGGTTCTGCTGGACAGTGCTGGGTTAAGGAGATAAAGGCCAGACTGGCAGGCTCTGCCACATAATGGCCCCACAAAACCCTGGGGAGGGGCTTGGGATGTGGCTCAAGCAGTATCGCGCTCACCTGGCATGCGTGGGGCGCTGGGTTCGATCCTCAGCACCACATAAAAATAAAGATGTTGTGTCCACCGAAAACTAAAAAATATTAAAAAATTCTTAAAAAAAAAAATCCTGGGGACACAGTCCTAACTCAATGGTATTTGAAATGTGCTTACAGATGCTCTCCCCAGGAGCAAGGCCTGGCTCCGTGGTCATTTGGATTCCCCCCTGTCCCCAGGGGACCTACTTGCTAGTTGGACTGTGGTGGCCACCTCACTTCAAACTTTCTCCACCCGAGAAAAGTAGTTTTTATACCAGGGATCTATCTAGTCCAGGGTCTCACTAAACTGCCAAGGCCAGCCTCAAACTTGCAATCCTCCTGCCTCAGCCTCCAGGCACACTTCAAGCATGAAGATGGGTCCCCCGCCCGGGAACCCCCTCACAGTAATTGTGTCGCCTTGGAAATGGCTTCACCCACTCTTCAAACAGCACAGTGCCTGTGCTTGCTTTCCCGCCAGGGCAGCAGAGCTGAGCAGTGGCAACAGATGTCACATGGCCCCCAAGTGGCAGTATTTACTATCTGGTCTTTCATGGTTAATTTGTCAACCCTGGCTTTAATGTCAAACCCAAACCAATTAAAAAAAAAAAAAAATTCCTGCACACCTCACTTTAGTAACTCATGGAGCCTTAAGAAGCTGTCACCTCTTACACCCCAACTGAAGGCGACTTCAAGCCTGAGGGCTCAGCTCAGCAATTGCAGATCTCCATCTGACCCAGACACCAATGAGCATGAGCCCGAGAAGCTGCCAACAGGCGATTCTGAGGCCCTGGACAACGAGAGGCAGGCCCCCACCGTGGCAGCTGGTCGCTGGACTCGCTTTCCCCCTCAGCCACAGACCCACACTGGAGTCTGCCTCTGCAGGTCCCCACCGCACTGAGGACGCAGCCACCATGCTCAAAGCCTCATCTCCACGTGCCAGACTCCTCTGATCCTTTTATGACACATTTATTGAATGTGTGATCAGCCCTAGACATGTGTGTCCCTCTCCTGGATGGCTGTGCTGATCCCCAAGACAGCTGGCTCAAAATTCTTCAAGGTTGGCAATTCCCGCCAAACACCTCCATCTCCAAGGTGGACGTGGGGACACTGCCTTAACGCTTAGGGGGAGCTCCTGCATGAGGAACTACTGCGGAAATGACCACACCTCCACGCACTTCTTAAAAATCATTTTTAGTTACAGACGGACACAGTACCTTCATTTTTACGTGGTGCTAAGGTATTTGAAATGGCAGGCGAGTGCTCTACCGCTGGGCCCAGCCCAGCCCAGCCCACCTCCATGCACTCTGCCACCCCAGCAGGCTGCTTCTGCAGGCAGGCCCCGTGGAAAGGGCCCCACGTGCCCAGAGCTTTCCAGGGTCATGCGCCAGCTTCAGCACGAGGCGGGTTGCCCTGCCATCCACGGAGGGACCTACACCCCACAGGGGGACAGGACCTGACAGCTTCAGAAGACTCGTGTGGGCCACCTGGAAGGCAGCTTGTCTCTACCCTTAAATTTTAAAACTTGCACTTCTGCCTCCCCAAAACCAGTTTAATAGACGCAAGCTCCCGATACCAGAACCGGGAAACCGCAAGCCTAAGGGTAGTACTCGGTGCGCGCGCGCCCACACACACACACACACACACACACACACACAGACAGTACCTCTGCGGGTTAGTTTCAGTTAACTGGGGGTCCTAGGACAAGGACAGGCCCGCTCGGGGACGCCTCTTCCGGAGAGAGGAAGCCAGGGAAGGACCGGGCTCTCCTGATGGGCCCCCAGGCTCGGATGGCGAGGCAGCCTGAGCAGGAGGGCAGCACTCACAGCAGAAACCGAGAAGAGATCCTCCAAGGCAACTGCCAAGAGACCAGGAAACTGATGCCACGGACACAGGGCGAAGGCCAGAGGCCAACCTTGCCAGCCCCTGCAGCCGGCGGACGCCACATCTCAGAGCCATTTCATTAAGTCTTTTATTTCTTAAACTTAACTGTGACCAGTCAGAGGCAAGTTTCCCCTCCCCACCCCAGCCCAGCCCCTGGAATCAGGAGGAAACCCATCTCCATGAAGCGTGTGCACAGCGAAAGGGCGTCCCCAGGCCAGCAGCGGGGAGAGCAGCAACCTTCCTCCACTTCCACGTCACTCACTGAATTTTTATAGAAAATTTTATTCAACATACAACATTTTCCAGCAAAAAGGCAATATACAGGAAGAGTTGGTGAACACTGCTGCTACAGAAACAAACAAAGATACTGGAAAAGGAGGAAAAGTAAGCGTGATCTGCCGATTCTATTTACTGCACTCAAACTAGACACGCAGCTGGCATTAGCTCCAAAAGAAAAGGAGACGAGGCGGGGGCCGAAATGAACCACACAGTGAGTATGACACCAGGGACATCCACCTGTAGACTCACCCAACAAAAAGTGACCTCTCCCCGTGGCAAATTGTACATGTCCATTCATTAAATATACAATTTCATTTTTCCTTTTTTATTTTACCCTTTGTACAAAGTCAGCAGCTTCCTAACCACCAGCAAG